GGAGCTCTGTGAAGCGGATGCTTTCAGAATATAGCCCAAGATTTTCTACCTCTCGGTACTATTTTCCTTTCTTTGCTTCTCTTTTTCTTCCTAAATTTCATACTATACCCTATTATGGAAAATATGAGAAAGGCAGACCAAATTAAAGAATAACAGCTATTACCTCCATAGAGGTAAGCATGCTACCTTTTGTCATATTACCATCTTGGCTTTGTATTGTTTTTATTGCTTTCCTTAGTAATCATTTTTCATATGGTATTGTATCACAATACTTTCTCATTTTTATTAAAAATATCTTAAATTTAATTTTCAGGGGCACCTGGGTGGCGCAGTCACTTAAGCATCCTACTCTTGGTTTTGGCTTATATCATGATCTCACGGTCATGAGATCAAGCCCCACGTTAAGGCTCCACACTCAGCACAGAGTCTGCTTAAGTTTCTCTTTCCCTCTCCCTCTGCCCCTACCCGCCCCCACCGCTCTCTTTCTCTTAAATAAATAAATCTTAACAAAAAATTTAATTTTCATAAGATGTAAAATCTTTCCAGTATAAGGATACACTATGTATTTAGTTTAGTTTTTTTTTTTTTCTTCTTGGGAGATTTTGCTTGTTTCTACCTTTCTATTCTTAAAAACAGTGCAGCAGTGGATGTCTTTGTTTATAAATCTTTCTATGTATTTCTATATGTATTTATGTTTCTGGCATATATTCTAGAAGCAAAATTACCGGGTCCAAGTGTATGAAAAATTTTAAATCTCTCAATACAAATAACCATACTGCTTTGCAGAAAGGTCAAACCCATTAATATCTCCATCTTTAATATATGAGAACACTTGTCTTTCTATGTCATTAGAGCATTAAGAAGTATAACTATTTTATACTAATATTAGGACAAATCCTATCTCATTGTTATTTTCATTTCTGGTTTTTCATTACTTACAAGTTTACATATTTTATATGTTAAATAGGAATGTAGTTTTCGCTACTGAAAACTGCCTACTTGTCTCACTTGCTCATTTATCTTCTGAGGTTCTAGTGTTTTTCTTCTTGGGTTCGTAGAACTCAGTATACACTAAGAATATTAAACATTTCTTATCAAAATGTGTTGCAAATATCCCAATTCACAACTGTGACTATAACAACTTTCACATATGTTTTGTATGTAACCAAATCTACCATACTTTCTTTTTATAGATCTTTACATTGTTTTATTTGCTGTTTGTTCTTTGCAGAGTTGCAATAACAAGCTAAAGACAAGGCAGGCTGCAACCCGGACTCACTGCTGACAAATTGTTTATTATGATCAAAAATTTTGTTCATAAAGGTCATCGGCAAATGAGTACATTTCCCCAGTCCAAAGAATCTTTAGTTACGTGATCCGTAGTCTGTTGCTAATAAACTGTCTCAAGTCTGTCCCCATTGAGCCCTCTCGTGTCCGTGGTTCAAAACATATGGTCAGTATTAAATTGATAACCCCACTTACAATCATTGGCTTAATAACTTCCAACAACAAATATTTGCTGAACACCTACTCTGAACTAGGTCAGATTGAAGAGCATCCCAGTTTTAAACAAGAGCATGCCCTAAACAGATTCAATACCTAAAGAGCATATTTAAGTAAATTGTTATATCTCAAATGTCTCTATGAGCCTATTCTTCTGCCTCCATCTGTTCGACATTTAGGGCCATCAGTAATAAGGGCCAAATGAGGAGTAGGCAACAGGAGTGAAAAGTTAAGTGTTAGTGTTCATTAGGCGCATAAACAAAGCTGCAAAATAAGAAGTGGAGGAAATTGAGTCCAGCCTGGAACCAGGATCTGCGAATAGGCTTTCTGAAGTATTCAGACTTTTCCTCCCAAAGGCAATACTGACAAGCCCATTTTGACTCATCTTCAAAATAGCCCCTATCATCCTCTTCCAACTGCATTTCTTTAGAATTAAAAACTGGATTTGGATTTGGATTCAAAACATAACCAAGGACTTTTTCACTGCAAGACAATTTTTAATCTCCACGATCTTGAAAAAAGGCAGCCAAGGACCAAGAAACACAAGCATGGAAGATATTCCTGTTTTCTGACAAAGAAAGTGAAATGCTATTACTAATCTGGCCACATCCCTTCACTCCCCACCCTAACTGATTTCTGAGGGGCATCTGTTTGGCCATTTTGTGGACTCCTTTATAAATTTCATTAAGACCAGAACTAGCAGAGTTCCTTGAACAAGGGGACTGACTCAGCCCCATTGTTCCTCAGTAACCTCAGTCAGTGGCTCTTGGCCTAAAAATTTCATGACACTTGTCCTGTTCCCAAGCTCAGATGTGAGCTTTCACTCTGTCAAATCATCACAGTCTTTGCAGGTCCCTCTCATCTGATCCTCTTGTATACTTCCATCTGGAGACTCTTTGCACCCCGAGTCCCCCGCAACCTCAACAGATGATACAGCTCCTTCTGCTCCTCCTTGTTTTCCCATGTGGTTGCTGAACAAAGTGCTTGCAGTATCAGAGTGAAACTGGTATATCCTCTCTCTTACTCTATCTCTCTGCCTTTTCTCATTTCCCCCAATTCTATTGGTCTTTATAATTAAAATGATGAGGGAAAATAAAACACTGCTCAGAGAGGGGAAACAAACAAGGTTTGATTCTTCTCTGACCTAGCTGGATTATAACCCAGGACATGCACTTCCAACAGCAGTGAAGTGAAAATCTTCACCAGGCTAATAAAGTACGCTGCAGGGTGGTCTGATGCTTCTGTAGTTTACAAACCAGAACACTCTAGGACCATATATACAGACTGCTGCACAGTTTACTCAGGACAGGTCAAAAGTCGCCCTTCTGAGCGATACTCCCTTCTGAATGTTCTGAATATTGGAACTCGCAGAACTTTTTCCCTTCTCTACTGCCAGATTAAGTGTGACACATCACTGGCTGACTGTTGGCCAGATAAAATATGTATTCAAATAGATAGATTATCTGACCATCATTAAATTATAGAATTCCTTAAATTCTACAGCTTAACTATCACAACAACAAATATTTGGCTCTTGCTATATGCTTGGCTCTGTGCTAATCACAGAGAATATAAAGGTAAATTTAAAGGTAAATAAAATACACTCTTGGGCACCTGGGTGGCTCAGTTGGTTGAGCCACTGCCTTCGGCTCGGGTCATGATCCTGGAGTCCCGGGATCGAGTCCCGCATCGGGCTCCCTGCTCGGCGGGGAATCTGCTTCTCCCTCTGACCCTCCCTCCTCTCATGTGCTTTCTCTCTCTCATTCTCTCTCTCTCAAATAAATAAATAAAATCTTAAAAAAAAAATACACTCTTACCCTTGAGGAATTCACAGTCAAGTGGGGAAGACAGACCAGTTCATAGATAATCCAATGCAATGCAACACACATAACAGAAGAACAAAGAAAAAGTACCATTGAAACACTAACTCCAGTGCAACTGATGAATGACTAAACTCTACCTCTGAAACTACTAATATACACTATATGTTATAAACTCTCTATATAAACTTTGCCTCTGAAACTATAACATATACTGTATGTTAATTAATTAAATTTAAATTTAAAGAAAAGACAAAAAGAAAGGAGAAAAAGAAAAGAAAAGAAGAAAAGAAAGAAAACACTAGTTGCAAAGAACATCTTGCCGAAACACTAACTAGGAAGTGACTAACTTCACCTAGGGTGCTAACATGTATTCATTAAGCACTTCTTATGACTGTATTAGGCACTCAGGATATAGAAGGGAACACAGCTCCTGTCTTTCAGTAGTGTAAACAAAGCTGGAGAGACAAACTTAGAACAAATAAATACCTAAATTAAAGTACAATCATAAACAATAGAAAGTGCCATGAGGGAAGAAACAGAGTGGTATAAAAGGAACTGATAGGGAGAACTAATTAAAATTGGGAAATCAAGGAAGGGCTTTTAGAGGAAATACCATTATAGCTAAGTCATAGAAGAGAGTTACTGAGTCACCCTGACTTGCAGTGGACTTGAATTTGGTGTTAACATGTTGGTGATATTTGTTACTGCAGCATATCACAGCCTTTTCTCACTAACGGAGACAGACTGGGAGAACTGATCAAACTCTTCCCACATTATACTTATTTCCTTGTAAGCATTCTCATTAGGTTTCCATGGGTGTGTTGTATTGCCTATATTTCATGGGAACTTTGTGATTGTTCTTGTTAAGAATTGCCCCTAACCAATGTTATTATAGCAAATAATAATAACCACTTCACTGAATTAATGTGACAAATAAATTAGATCATCAAAATTTATTCCACTCTCTCTTCTTTTTCTCCTTCTGTCTTTTCTTCCTTCTTTACTTGCTACCTTTCTTCCTTACTCATCCATTTCTTTTCCTTTCTCCTTCCCACCCTCTGTAAACAATGGTTGCTAAACAAATGCTAGTGATTTCCTGTTAATTGATAAAATAATACCCAAAGTGCTAAATACTGGGGCTTTCTTATCTTCTCCCCTTTGTCTTCCTTTTCTCTCTTCTCCCACCTCAGAACCCCTACTCTGGTCCAAGCTAACTTCCTTGTTTTTTTCTTCTCTGACATGGTTTAGGGATTCAGTCTGAATTCAGCCTCCCCCCCATTTGGGGGAGGGGAGGTGTTGAGAGTGAGAGCTTCCACTTCCCAGAGACACACTTTGAATTTCTAGACTGCGTAGTGGGACCTCATCTCTTACAAGCCTCTTTGTCTATAAAAATTCCACTATTATCATAATCAGAAACAGTCAGGGGATCACAAAAGTCTTTGGCAGGGGGAAATCATGGAGCTTAAGAAATCTTATAGGTCTTTAGGCTCATGGTGCCAGCCTGATTTCCTGCTTCCCTCTCTGAAGTGGTAACTGGACCAAAGGAACAAGATTTAAAGTGCGCCGAAAAGAAGAAAGGATACACGAGCTGTAAGCTAGCCAACCCTGCTTGCATTGCATGGCAAGGATTGCAAATAAGCAGCTGGTACTGGGTGAGGGTGCTTATCTACTTACATGACTCCGGCCACTGCTGCTGGGGTCCTCCTTTATTCTTAATTTTATCCAGTTCCTGCCCTTTGACTTCATCTCTAGTTTTCAGCCCTAGGACTGAAAACTCAACTATTGTCCCTATCAGCGGATCGTACTTCTCGATTTTACTTCTCCAAGTTCTCCGTCCTGTATATCTGGGTTTGGACATTTCCTCTGGCTCCATTTACTTCAGGCCAATCATTAGAAGCCCACCTTAACTCTGACTCTAGTAGATCAGCCCAAGACGGGATTGTGCACATATGAAGACCTTATAAATAAACAACTTTTTAAAAATGAACAAGATGAAGTGTTTAGTGCAAAAGGCCATGGTGTGCTGGAGGTAACTAGTACTGGCTCGTGAGAACTAATTGTTAGGTTTTTAGGAATTTTGCAAGTCAGTTGTTAAACAGTCATTATTGAAAATTATGTTATTTATACTTGCAGTTAAATAAATTATATTAAAATAAAGGGAATGCATATGTAAAACTCATCACTTTGAAATTACTATTTTCTTTGCTCTTGGGGTTATCTGTATCTAATGTATCTGTATAATGGAAATGCTATATAATGGTGTGTCATTGCACGCATCTTCCTAACTCTGTCTGTATTCAGTGATCCAGGCATGGTGAGTGTATTCACACCATGGAAATCAGCAAATGCTACAAAGAGCTTTTTTCTCCCATAGAGCCAGCTGTTAAATAGTTGACTGTGCACAACTACAAGAGTGCTGGTGTCTTTCAGAAATGCTTAATAAAGACAAAAGCATGGGGTAGGGAGAGTATTTGTACTTACTTCCCTGGAATCCATTCTCATACTGTCCCCTTCCTAAATAAGACCTTAAATTTTTCATCCATGTAGTTTGCATGGTACCTTGCCTTCAGCTGCAGAACAGGGTCCTTTTTCATTTGTTGTCCCAAGCGCAGTGGCCAATCCCAAACCTCTGACTACAGTCAACCTGGTTCAAGGATGAATTAATGGTCCAAATCAAACCAACATGGCCACTGAGGCTGATTTGAAGGACCTGCCATTCATAACCTTTCATTCCTACTACATAGGAACAAGGACGTTTGCAGCTGCAAAAGACACTTGTAGCTGTCCTGGAACCACAAATGAAAAAGACTACCCAAGGATGAATTTAAGCTGAGGAAGTAGAACCAAAAAATGGTGAGAAAGAAACTAGATTCTGGACCAGGCGCAGACTGAAAATCTAATTATAGACTTTCTGTAAGTCAGTGAATTCCTTTTTGAATTAGACTTTCAGTTACTTGTGCCAAAGCGATGCCTTCCTGATACATGACATGGAGTTTATATCTTTAGATGAGGTAATTGTAGGAAAAAGTAAATACTCTTAGCCATTCGTATCATGGTTGTTTGTGTATATAGGCCTGACTCTTCACCAGAGAGCAAACTCTTTGTAGGCTGAAACTTCTTACTGCACATCTTTGTATCTACAGCTCACTTAACACTGTGCCCTGCATAAAGTAGGGGGCAAGTAGTAATAAGTGCTTAATTTAGGTTTGCTTAATTGAATTGGTTCGTAAGTCAGGGAGGGATTGTACAAGAAGTGGAGTGAATCCGAGTAAATTCCTCTTCCCTTCTTTGGCCAAGCAGCCAATTTGAATCCATCTGTTGTCATTTGTGAATGTCCCAGGAAAAAAAGAATGAAGTAATATGACTCTTGAGTCCAACAGTCCAGTCTCTCCATGGAGAAGGTGGTAGTTCTCTGCCGGAATGCAGTGAAAATAAGTCATCATCTTTTTGGTTAGCATAATCGCTAAGAAGACTCCTTTTGTCCGTGTTTTCATGATGTCAAATATCTGGATAAGAATTAAATGTGCAGTCAACATGTCTTGTAAAATCTATGCATGTGGCACCACAGTGACGAAATATCCAGGTACTTAACCAGACTTCTCATCTATCCACAAGTCTGGGTTGTTTATGTCAGAAAGTGACGGTAACAAGTATGACAATCCCAGAACTCTATGGCACTGTAGCTCTGAATGACACCAGTCCCTTATGACTTGGAGAGGAAGATAAGTACTAACACAGGCAGATCACATGAGTATTTCAGCTACATTTCAAGGCCGAAGGAAATAACTACAAAAACAGGAATTCTGCCTCCACTTTCCCATCCTTTCCCTGTCTTTTCTCCAACCCTCTCACTGTCAACATGCAATGTATCTTCTTTATTTATGTTAGTTTAATTTTCTCTCAATTTCCTAGAATGTAAGCTCCAAGAGGGCAAGTATTAGTCTCCATTTTTTCCACAGCTCTCGTAGCGGTATCTAAAATAGACTCTAGCATATAGTAAATGCTCAGTAAACATTTCTGGGACAAATGAGTTGGCCGATGGATGGCAATTTGTTAATTAACTCATAGATCAGAAACTAAAAAGGCCTGGTAAAAACAAAAAAACAAAAAACTTTGTTTTTCTAAATTAAATGAAAAGACCCTGTGCTGGCTCCACCACAGTCTAACTTTGTGACTACAAACAATTTGTTTCTCATGGTGTCCCTTGGTTTCTCCAGATAATAGTCCCAGCCCTACATTCTTCAAAAACTTTTAAGTATCTCAAAAGAGACAATAGCTGCAAAGGTGTCAGGCTAAAGATGCATTGCCGAAGCTCAGCACGGATGGTTTTTCATAGGATTAAACAATTATCTCAGTTGTCCACTTACTTATTAAACTGGCAAAATTCCATTTTCAGCTTTTGTTCCTGTACATACCAGCAACCATGCATTAATCAGTTTTCTATATTGCTATTGCTTTCAATGTATTGTTATTAACATTTTTAATTAACTAACCATTTCCAAACAAAACTGCCATGTCTTACACTACAAATTTGCCTCCGAAGTCACAAACTTTTTAATGATAAATATAGACATACTTAACAAATCCAATCGAACTGGTACTTACTTCAAATGTGAAGTAGTATTTCTCCAGAGTAATCACTCTTCCCTCCAGTATGTTAACAGCAAATCAGTCTTTCTGTTGTAAGCATTCTGTTTACCCTGTTCTTATTTTCTCCTTCAAGCTAAATTCTATTTTGCAAGGTCCCTCTTCCAGTCTTAAAAAAAAAAAAAAAAAAAAAGATCCTGTACCTTTAATAGCAGAGACCTGATGAGAGGTTTCTTTCCAAACTTGTTCCCTGGCTTCCAAGTGACGAAACCAGCTGTAATTTGAGAGCAGAGAGATCCTCAGGATATCATTAGCCAAAGGAAAAGCTCCACATTCCCACCCAGTCCAGAAGTTGAAATCGTATCAGAGGGCAAGAGCCTCTCTCTCCAGCTACAGGCTCCATCTCTCAGGAGCAAGGGGGAACTCCGAGAGAGAGTGGGGCAACCGAGCCCTGGAGGAGGGGTTCCCTCTCCTGCCGGTGATCCCGCCGCCGCCGCCGCCGCCGGGAAGGAGCCGGCTGAGTTCCAGCCCGGAGCGCAGGAGCCAGAGCCTGCGTGCATCCTGCGCTGTGTGGCCGTGCTACCCAGGCGCCGGTGACACAGCCACATGAAGCCTGCCGGGGAGGGGGGGCCAGGGTGCAGCAAGCCGGCGGGGACTGAGGCTGTCGCCGTCTTGGGGAGGCACTGACTCCCCGGGGGACCCCCTTCTTCGTGCCCGGGCGAACTGTCTTCTCCAGGGGTCCCCGGTCATCCTGACTCTCCAGGATGGTGTTCCTGAAGTTGCTCTGGATAGGTTTCTTCTGCCGCCTGTGTCAGGGCTACTTCGATGGCCCTCTCTACCCGGAGATGTCCAATGGGACTCTGCACCACTACTTCGTGCCCGACGGGGACTATGAAGAGAATGATGACCCTGAGAAGTGCCAGTTGCTGTTCAGGGTGAGTGACCACCGGCGCTGCTCCCAGGGGGAGGGGAGCCAGGCCAGCAGTCTGCTGAGCCTCACCCTCCGGGAAGAGTTCACCGTGCTGGGCCGCCAGGTGGAGGATGCTGGGCGTGTCCTGGAGGGCATCAGTAAGAGCATCTCCTACGACCTGGACGGGGAAGAGAGCTATGGCAAGTACCTGCGGCGGGAGTCCCACCAGATCGGGGATGCCTACTCCAACTCGGACAAGTCCCTCACTGAGCTGGAAAGCAAGTTTAAGCAGGGCCAGGAACAGGACAGCAGGCAAGAGAGCAGGCTCAACGAGGACTTCTTGGGGATGCTGGTCCACACCAGGTCCCTGCTGAAGGAAACGCTTGACATCTCCGTGGGGCTCAGGGACAAATACGAGCTGCTGGCCCTGACCATCAGGAGCCATGGGACCCGGCTAGGTCGGCTGAAAAATGATTATCTTAAAGTGTAGGTGAAAGGGCACACTGGCAGGGAGAGGGCATCAAGTCAGCCCGGTTGTGGAGGGTGGGGGCAGAAGACAGGGCTAACATTTCCCTTATACTTCTTATTTTTTATATATTTGGAGTTGCACTTGGAGAATGATCTGAAGTGAACTTTAAAGGAAATGAGTGAGAGTCGAGTTGTTTCGTTTCTGTACATTATTTATGGAATTGCTATTGATTTGTTACTTGGAAAGAACAACTTATGGCCATGCCTCCTGCCTTCCCTAGAGGACTTTATAACTCTGCAGAGACACCTGTTTCAGCCATGTCTAGAAGGACACAGTTTATGCAGTAGGGAGCGATTACATTTCCCCACCCTGGAGATTATGGGAAAATACTCAGAGAGGATAGTGCAGAGTTCCCTTTCGCCCTCAGCCTTGGCTCTTGGGCTCTGAAAGTTGTCAGTTGTCTGTTTTTCAGATGAGGTCCCAGGTGCTGCTCAGCCTGCCTGCCAGCAGATGGAAGTCGCCAGTTTCTTCTTCTCCTTTTCTCTCTTATTTATTAACCATGGTCTCCAAGGTTTTGTTTTTAGTTTTGGGGGTTTTTTGTTTGTTTTTCGGGTTTTTTTTTTTTTTTTTGTAAGAGTATTGCCTAGAAATATGCAAATCGTCCTTTGCAGGGAGATGTCCAAGGTGCCTCTTGAGTGTAAGTTGAAGTGACCACATTTAAGAAGTCCAAGCTTTGTGGTGGGTACACACTCATGTTGCTAAGCTGATTTGTTGTGTCTCTCATTGTATGCCTGTGTCCTCAGAGCTGCAGTCCATTACAAAAAAGTAGATAGATTGAACACACCCCTGAATGCCGATGATGTAGGTTACCAATGTATTCGTTCTGGGTTTGGGGGTTTTGCTTCTGTTTGCGTACTGGAAACTTGTACTTCAAGTAGGGGGGGATTCTAATTTTAATAACTCCTTCATTAAGTTTTATTATTCAGCCAATAAATATGTTCGCATATAATACTGGCTTATTTTCTAATTGATATCCATAACTTTCATATTGCAAAGAGAAGTACAGTGCAAGAGGAAAGAGAAGGGTGGGATTTAAGCCAGTTTACTCAGAGTATATGATAAAGAAGGCAGAGGGATGGCTATGTATTTGGCAATCCTCTCTTCCCTGGCCACCCTTATCATCCTCAAAAGAAAAAAATCTAGGTCTAGCCAGAAGTTGATCTCTGCTGGTCTGCCTAAAAACTCCATTTTCCCCAGTTTTTCCCATAGAAACAACTGGAAAATCTTATGACAAGGCTTGTTAAGTTATATGCCCTCATAATGCAGACGGAGGGTTCCATTCTAAGTTATAAGAACTATAATGATGTTTAATAATTTTGAAGCCAGGTTTATGTTATTGACTAATGATTTCAAAAGGTGGAAATGCACTTTATTTCATGTCTTCCCCCAGCCCCTCACTCTCACCTTAAATATGTTTTTCTTTCACACACACACACACACACACACACACAGAGGAAAATAAATAAATGTTCATAATCTACTCTTCAACAGTGAAGCATTTTTTTTCCTCTCCCATGCCCGAAGACTCTAGTTTTCTATTCCTATGATGTGTCCAATATATCCTCCTATTACTTTAGGGGAAACTGAGGCCCAGAAAGTGGCTGACCCTTGTTTTAACAGCTCCTGGTCTCTTACAGTACAGAACTTTCCCACACTGCTCCTTGCAAGGATGCTGAGGCCCAAACCTTTGCATAAACCTCATTGTTTAAAATATAAAAGAACAACACATGGAATAATACTTAAAATAATTGTTTGTAATTTCTTAGCTGCCTCTATACTGGTGTGTGGGGGGAAGGTAAATGATTGTTGAAAAGGGTTTCCTTCTTTATTCTATGAAAGATGAGGGAAAAACACCAGAGGCAAAGGAGATGATATTTGGCACTTAAATGATTGTAGTTTGTAGTCACAACACTTAATATCTCAAAACTTTCCTATCACTCACTTCACAGGACTGAAGTCTAATCCATGGACATATTAAATGTCACCTCTTCAATTTTCCCATCTGTAATAGAATATTAAGCACATGACAGTTAGAAAACTGGCTTCCCTGTGCATGCTAATTTCAATCAATCCATAATGGCCTCATACACTATTAGGCTAGGAAGGATTTATAAGGCACCTTTTAAAGATGTAAAGAGGGCTGTCCCCAGTTAGAGATGCCTTCCATGGGTGCAGAAAGAGGACCAGTGGTGCATCTGCTACAAATTTGAAAACCCTGAAACAGATTGTGTATGAGGTTCTTTCTAGGGCGAACATTCTATGAGTCCTGCAGAACCAGAACGAAATTATCTGACTTTGAATCATCCATCCAAGGCTAGAGGTACAGCCAGGAATCCCACAGAGTCTTATGTAAATGGCCCTAGAGGGCAAATGAGAATTTCCAGGGGTGGGGTGGGGATGGGGGTGGGTAGTGAGCCGTCCTAGATACCAACCCAGAGGCTAACATCACAAAGCTTTTCCAAATCCTCTTATGGGGGGAAACAGACCCACTCAGTTCTTTCCTCCCCACTTCCTTGTTATGCTTATTGGGACCTCCTTGCTTGCCAGGTGACAAATTCTTTTCAATAGTGCTTCTTTATTTCTCAGACCATGAAATAATATTTTGAGAATCTGAAGAAAACTACATACTTTCTTCCCTGAGAAATCTGACAAAAATATCCATACATTTTAGGATATGCATTATTTTTATAAATACCAATCACTTAACATGCATCAGGTATGGAATTAGGTTGTGGGTAATTCTGGGATTCACAAAGCCTTGGGACTTAATCTAACTAACAGTTTTAAAAAGCCTCTTGGAGTTTTATTTGAGTAAGAGACATTTTTGTTATTGCTATAATTTTCAGTTAGTTTTTTTTTTTTTAAGATTTTATTTATTTATTTGAAAGAGAGTGAAAGAGAGAGAGAGCACAAGCCAGGGGTAGGGGAAGAGGAAGAAGTAGACTCCCCACTGAACCCGGAGCCCGATGCAGGGCTTGATGTGGGGCTCCATCCCAGGACCCTGGGATCATGACCTGAGCCAAAGGCAGATACTTAACTGACTGAGCCACCCAGGCACCCCAAGTTTCAGTTAGTTATAACAACAAAACTGCTAACTTTTTTGAGAACTCAGGGCCTGTGCTAAGAACTTTGCCTGAACTACTTTGCCTTAATTCTAGCAACAAACTGTGAAGGAAGTATCATAGAAAAGGAATTATTCCATGCCAAGTGCTTTGAACAGTACCTGACACAGAGTGAATCCTCAATCAATGTTACTTACTAATATGGTTAGTTTGGTAACTGAGGCCCAGAAAGCCTAGGGAATTTTCCCAAGGTGAGAACTGTGTGATGTCTTACATACTTCACTATATTCTCCCTTTTTAAAGTGATGGTTATCTAGTGGAGTATAGATCAAATTAAAGAAGACTGTGGAGGGTAGGGGTCCCCTGGGGCCACCAGCTGTCTACTGCACATGTTGTCCCTATAGGCCTGTCAACTGACTTCCTACAGCAATTCAGATGTCTGATCTCTGTCCATCAGAAGCTGAGTGGCTCCTGTGTTTACCGAATTTCTCGCTGAGTCTTTCTCTGCGTGATGCATTGTTAAATACCACTACTCCTCACTCTCCCAATCTGACCATGTGAAAATTTCCGTATACCTACTTTGAAACATTCCATAGGTATCTGTCTATCTAGAGTCTGTTGATAAAGGACACCAGGCCATGTTAGCCTTTGCAACCATCAAAGCCACACTCCTAGAAGCCGGCAGAAGCCTGCTGG